TGGCAGAGCAGTATTTTGAAGCCCTGAAACTGGCTTTATCTGTACCATTCCATAGAATCTGGAAATAATTTTTCTTATATTTTTACTCTGCCAGCTGAGATTGTATGGATTCTAAGAGTAATCTGAGTTTATGCTTTTGACTGACAGGCATTTCATTCACATTTATAGCATTCGAAAACAGACTAATTATAGTAGCCATGAAATTTAGCTCATAGCTCATTTGGTGGCACCAGGACTGAAAAGAAACAAGGCTACAGTAGGTATCTAAGAATCTTAGTAAATTTTTGAAAGCCTAAATAATGGTCTTGGCACTGAATGTAAGATTTTTTATATTTATTATTATCATAAGGACATCGGCCATGTGTAAGAAGGCATGGCCCATTCTGTACCTTTCATACTCTATTTCATTGCCAAAAAGTGGGACATAGGTTTCATTATTGATCTTTTGAAGCCCTGATAGTTTGTTTGGATCAGAGTTCTGTAGTTTTTACAAGTTGTTTTCTTCACATTTTTATCATGGTAACTGCATAAATTTTTCTCCTCATTCTGTTTTAGTTAATATAAATCTTCCCATGCTTCTCTGAATCCATTTGTCATTTGTTATGGTCAATGAAGAGAGAATACAAGTGCAAAAGGAAGCACAAAGGGCAATTTTTTTTACAACCTTGTTAAATTAAATGCATACATCACTTACTCTTTTGTGTGTGTGGAAATATTTGTATTTGTTAATTGAGTTCACAATAAAAATGAAAAATTAAAAAAAGCCTTACTAACCCTGGTCAAGACTAATACAGGAAAACTTGACAAAAATTTGGCAGATCAAGAAAATTTCTGTGAAAGCCTAGTCATTTAAACTTTTTCCAAGACCAGATTACTACATGAGTATGCATGCATGTGTAAGTTTTTGTCTTGTAAAAGGGCCTTCCTTTGGAGCATCTATTTCTGCAGATGCATAATTAGACTTCATTGATCAGGGTTCTAAAAGGGAAAAAATGAAAATGTAAAAACAGAGTTAAAAAAGCATTAACAAGTATTTTACCAGTTTTAAGGGAAAGTTGCCAGTTTCTAGGAGGCCATATAGTTTCTAAGCTTCATACTGAGACCTACGAGAACAGGATTGAGGGGAGGTAGAGGAGCCTTTCTGGTCCTTCTACAATTGTGTCTTTGGATTCCCAGTATCTAGAACATTAAACGTATAATAATTGCTTAATAATGCTTTTTGAATGAAGGGATGGACGACTGAATGTTAGAATGGAGAGGAGGAAGAGAAGAAGGAAGAAGATGATTATAATGTTGATTTAATTTATCTGAAGTACTGATTCTTTTTGGTGTTATGATGAGAAAAGATGTTTGGGGTTTTTTTAGTTATGTCCCAAAAGATTTTCAGGACGACAGGTGGTAGAAGATACTACTTCTTTCCCTTTCCCTAACATTGTTTAAGTATCTTCTTTTGGGAAATTCAGCAAGAAATAATATTTCTTGAAGTGAATAACTGTTATTCTGCCCCTCACCTCCAGTTCTATGGAAGCTGTACTGGTTTAGCTTCCAAGAATGGTGGCTCCCAAAAGAAGCTTCATTGGAGAACCTTCTTCTCCCACTCTGGAATCCTTGTTCCAAAGAGAATTTCACCTCATCTTGTATCTCTTTTTCTCACACTTCTGCTAACTCTCATTGAGACGTGACTCCCCCTCAATGACATTATTATCAAAGGCTCTTCTTTCCAATATGACTTATACATTTTTTCATATGTCCCTAATATACTCTTGAAGGAACAGTTGAAGTACTGTTTAGTCCCCACTGCCACTTCCAGACTCTTTATCTCTGTAACTCATCAACTTCTCCTCCTTTGAAGTCCACTCAATCAAAATATTCCATCCAAACTCAATCATTGAATACTATCCCCTACATCCTTTTCCCTCTTTCCAAATGAGTTCAGCACATGGATCATTTTCTTTCTTCCCCAGCTCCTGCTTGTACTAGGGGACTTTAATATCTAGATCAATGCTTTTTCTAGCTTCCTAATCTCCTAATTCCTGAGCCTTCTTAACCCATGACTTATTGCTTCCCTCCTTCTCAGCCACACACAGGGATGATTACACACTGCGTCTCACTATTACCCACAAGTATCCCACATCATAGGAAAAAATGCTGACATTCCTCTATCTAACTATAATTTGATCAGTCCAGCTCTCTCTTTGTCTAAGCCTGCCTAAACCTGTTATTTGCCCTCCTTGAGTCCCTTTGCCCCTTGACACTTTCTCAGGCCATTACCCTGGTATGATTTCACTTTCCTGTAATTAGCTATTTGAACCATACAGTGTCCTTTGCTCTCCATTTTCTTGCCCCTTACTTGGATCCATGGTCATTTCTTGCCAATCCTGAGCTCTGAATTATTTCCACTAGCTACCTCCTCTCATTTGTACTCACTGTTGTGGAACACAATTATTGGAAGTTTCAAATGTACTGAGTATATTATAAATTCATATTATCCAACCTCAACTGGATTTTCATTTTCGCATGGTAGCCCTTTTAGTCCTCTCTAATTGATTCCCTATCTCACTTCCCACAAAAGCTTTTCCAAACCTTCTCTTCCATCCTCAGGCCTCTCCCTCCCCCCTTGCAGCTAAGAACTTTGTCTCTGTACTGAAAAAATTGAAGTCATTTGATGTGAATTCTCTCATTTCTCTTTCTCTTTGTCTTAAAACCTCTTGACATCATATCTCATTCTCTCCTACTTATTACCAGACTCTTACAAAGAACTGGCCCTTTTCCTTTCAGAGGCCAAACCACCTACATGGGAGATTGATGCCATCTCTCCCCACCCCCTTTCCATGTGCTGTAGCAGATTGCAAACTCAATCATCCCCTCTATTTCTGGAGACTTTCTTCTCTTTGAGGTAATCTCATTGCTCTTTCTTTGTTCTCCTACCAGTCTGACCACTCCTCCTCAACTTCTTTTGTTGGCTTAATATCCATGTCATACCCCTTATTGTGGTGGCTCCCCCAAGGTTCTGTCTTGTACACTTCTAAATTCTCACTCTGGGTAACCTTATCAATGCTCATAGGTTTAACTCTCATCACTTTGCAGATGGCTTAAGTCCATATATCCTGCCTCTCCCCTGAGCTTCTGTCCTTCATCATTAATTGCTTATGAGACATTTCAGATTGGAGACATATATATATTCACACACACATGAATATTATATATATATATGTGTGTGTGTGTGTATGTGTATATGTAATCAAACTCAACCTGTATAAAACTGAACATCTTTTGCCTCAAACCCTTGTCTCTTCCAAATTTTCTTATCTTTTGAAGGCATCACTATTTTTTCAGACTTTCAGGTTCATAACCTTGATGTTATCCTTGACTCCTCTTTCTCCTCCCCCTCCTCACACATCCAGTAATTTGCCAAATCTTGCCATTTTTACCTCTACAACAACTCTTGTATCCATTCCCTGTCTCTCTGCTCCATAGTAATTTATTTAAATTCAGGCCCTCATCACCTCATCATCTGTCACCTGGATTACTGCGATAGCCTCCTGATCCGTCTTTCAGTCTCAATTTTCTCCAGTTCAACATAAACATTTCCTCTAAAATGATTTTTCTTGCTTGAAGATCTGACCATTTGACTTCCCTACTCAATTCTACTGGCTGCCTAGTGCCTGTAGGATACAGAATAAACTATTTTTTAAAATTTCTTAAAGGTCTTTATATCCTGGTCCTAACCTATTTTTCCAGCCTCATTGGCCATTAATCCCCCTCTTGCTCTCTCTCGTCCTGCCCAATTGTCCTCTCTCTTCCACATTCATGGTCCTCCAATTCCTCTGTCTGTGACCCCCATGCCTGAGATGCATTCCCTCTGAACCTCTGCCTCAAGGAGTCTTTTTTCTTCCTTTAAGGCACAGCTCAAGCACTATCTTCTTAATGAAGGCTTTCCTGATCCCTCCCCATGCCTCCCAAATTACCTTGTATTCAGCTACTTTATCTTAATCTATATTTATTCCATTTATATTTATTCTCTGTATGGTTTCATGTGATACACACACACACACAAACACACACACATAGTACATGTGTATATATTTGCTATCTTTCCCATTTGAGTTCCCATTGAGCTTTAAAAAAAAATAGGAATTGTTTCATTCTTTGTATCCCCAGTGCCTGGCACAATGCTTGGCACATAGTAGGCATTTAATAAATTCTGGTGGATTCACTGATTCTTAAACACATCATGGAAGCTTTGTATGGGACCCAAAGAATAAAGGTTTAGATGTAAGGAGGAAACTAAACATAGAGTAGTCATTCTAACATATTGGCTAACTTTTGTTTGTGCCTGCGATGTACCTACCCATACAACCCAAAGTCCAGGGGAGGATGACCACGTTAGAATCCATAGCTAATATTCCAGGCCATTGTCCCCTAGACTTATTCAGAACCATTGCTTCTCACTCCAGACCTGTCGATGAAATTGGCCCCTGGAGTGGGCTCAAAGTGTACTACTTATCCACATTTTGTTCTGGCATAGTTACTCACATAAGAACTAATAGTTTCTGCTCCTGTAAGTCAAATGCAAATATACATGACCTTCCATTTCCCCTCTCCACGCCTTTGCACTGGCTGCCCCCTATCTCTTGAATGTCTTTTCTTCTCACCTCTGCATCTTAGATTCTCTGGCTTTCCTCCATATCCAGCTCAAAATGCCACCTTCTGAGGATTGCACTTCTCGATCTTCTCATCCCCTAGTACTCTTCCAGCCAAAGTTATCTTGAGTCTGTTTTGTGTGTTTCTTTTATAGTATTACATATATACATGTTGATTTCCCCATGAAAATGTAAGCTGTTGAGGGCAGGGACTTTCATTTTTACCTTTATATGCCCAGTGCTTGGCATATAGCAGGCACATAAATGGTTCTTGATTGATAGCTTGGCCAATATTGCATAGAAAACCCCTTCTCACCTCTCCTATGGTCTTCCTCTCTCTCCTCTTCTCTGTTTCAGAGTTCCAAAGTTCTGGCTAAGAAAGAACTTTCCTATGTCCCTGTAATTGGATGGATGTGGTATTTCCTAGAAATAGTATTCTGTTCCCGCAAGTGGGAGGAAGATCGCGAGACAGTCATCAGGGGTTTGCTAAATCTTCGGGACTATCCTGAAAACTTCTGGGTAAGTAACAGCTTTGAAACAAGGAAAACTGCAAACTGCTTCTATCCTTACTGCCCCCAGTTCTGCTCACTCACTAGGAGTATCCTGAAATGTCACAAGACTTTAAAAACTGACCAGGCCTTGAGGACTTACAGTTCTCCTGCTTTGCTCTTTTTGTATTGGGGGTTGATGGTCATTTTTATTTTTCTCGTTCCTACTTCTTCCTAAATATTGTTGTTGTTGTTCATTCATCTCAGTTGCATCCAAGTCTTGGGGTATTCTTGGCAAAGATTCTGAAGTGGTTTGCCAGTTCCTTCTCCAGCTCATTTTTTTTACAGATGAGCAACTGAGGGAAATAAGGTTAAATGACTTGCCCAGGGTCACACAGCTAGTAAGTGTCTGAGGCCAGATTTGAACTCAGGACGGTGAGTCTTCCTGAGACCAGGCTCGGCACTTTATCCACTTCATCAACTAGCTGCCCTTCCTAAATATACCTGGTGCTAATACTTGGTACAGCTAAGGATCAAAGGATCTGGAAGCATTCTGAGAACAGTAAGCCTATCCTCAAATCCTCCTTATACTCTTTTTTCTCCCCAGTTCCATTTTTCCCCCCAATGGGAAAGTCGAGGCCCATATAAGGTGGTGATTTCTTTCCTCATAACAGCGTGTTAGCAGGAGTCCTGTCTAAGTAACGTAATCAGATAATGTTATTCAGGAATTCGGATACCTCAGTCCCATGAGACAGGCTGTACAGCTACTTCCTGAAAGACATGAGAAGTCCAGGAAAATGTGATGCTTTCATTCAGTCTCTTGCTTTTGCACACAGACTTTTTCCATGGAGTGGTTTCTAATTTCTCTCCTGTGTTGTTTCCAGTTTCTGATTCATTGCGAGGGCACCAGATTCACCCAGCAGAAGCACCAAATCAGTATGCAGGTAGCCGAATCTAAAGGCCTGCCGAAACTCAAATATCACCTGCTCCCGCGCACAAAGGGATTTGCTGTCACTGTGAAGTGTTTAAGAAATGTAGGTAAGGAAAGTCACTTGGTGCAAATTTTTTTTCCTTCCCTTTTAATAAGAACAGAATAGACTACCAATCTCCCTCACCCCCAACATGCAAAGTTTTCTTTCTTCTCCACCAGAATTTACATGGGGTCTCTTGGCTGACTGCACAAGAGACTGCTGAATTAGGACGTTTTGACTAATTGGAAATGGAGGGGAAGAAAGTTTTACTTTGCTATAACACATCAATGATGTTAATAGCACAAATTTCTGTAGTAATTTAATGTTAACAAAATACAGCAACCATGTGAGGTAGGTAGTACTAACTTGCTGTAGAGGTCATAGGATTTATTACAGTCCAGCTGGAAGGGACCTCATTTTACCAAGGAGGAAATTAAAGCCCCAAAAGAAGTGATTGGTCCAGGGTTGCTACACAGGAGACATCAGATATCTGATTTGAACCCAGGTGTTCTGACTTCAGAGCCAGCGCGTGATCTTTAAATACAGTGCCGGAGTTGGAATCAGTCAGAAAGAGCTGACTATTTGCTGTGTGACCCTGGTCAAGATACCTAACTTTTCTTTCCTCATCTATAAAAAATGGGCATCATGATACCTAGAATCCCTGCCTCAAAGAATTGTCAGGAATCTCAAATGAAATAACATATGTGGAATGCTATGTACATATTAAAGAGCTATAGAAATTGTGGGGTTTTTTTGATGTGGTTACTACCACTAAATGGGCAGCTAGGTGGCTCAGTGGATAGAGCCTGCAGTCAGGAATACCCGAGTTCAAATATGGCCTCAGATACGTACTAGCTGTGTGACCCTGGTCAAGTTACTTAACCCTGTTTGCCTCAGTTTCCTCATTTATAAAATGAGCTGGAGAAGGAAATGGCATATCACTCTGGTGTCTTTGCCACGAAAACCGTAAGTGGGGTCATGGAGATTTGGATACAACTGAAATGACTGAAAGCCATCATCACCATTTCATTTTACAGAAGAGACATCTGAGTCCCAGAGAAGTTAGGTGTCTTGCTTAGGGTCACACAGCTAATAAATACCGTTAAACAATGCTGCAAGTGGAAACTCGAAGTGGCCACCTTTTAGCTCAGGTCATTACATAGAATTGTAACTATGGCTCTCTGCCACTCAGCACAGATACTATGACATTGTGAGTCATGGCCAAGACAACTTTTATTTGTTCTGCTGTCCTGACAATAGTTGTAAGTCATAGTTGTCTGAGCCTCCTATAGGCCTAATTCCTGTGGAAATTTTGACCATGCTTTTCTGCCTCCTGACACCTTTTGGCAGGATCTGCCTCCAAAGGATTTATTTATCTCAGGAATTGGCTGATATGCCTGTGGTGGTGACCCAGAACCCCTGGGGTGGGAAAGAAATAACTGAACATATAAAAGCTTTCCTCTATTTTCCTCTCTTCCCATGTTTCACTTCTTTTCATTTCTCCTCAGTCTATTCAATAGACTAAAGAGCAAAGCTCAGCTAAAGTGGACACAGTCTTATAGTTAAAGATTGTTAAAATTTCCTGTTTTCTTCTTTACCATCCACCCCCTTTCAGGCAGTTCAAGCCTACAGGTACTGTGTGTCAGACCATCATACTGAGGGCAGAAGATAGAAAATAGAAAGAAGGACAAACTTCTATCACAATCTCATAGAAGCATATAACACATAAACAGCTATGAAATAAGATACAGGCAGGAGATTGAATATAATCTTAGAAATAAGGCACTAGCATTAAGAAATATAAGGAAAGCTTTTTGCAGAAGGTGGGATTTGAGTTGAGATTTGAAGAAAGCAAAGAGGCAAAGATGAGGAGGGAGAAAATTCCAGGCATTGGGGACAGCCAGTTTCAGGAGAACAGGAATGGGAGTGTCACTGAATCCCAGAGTATGTAGAGGACAATAAGGTATAAGAAGAATGGGAAGATAGAAAGGGCTCAGGTTATGAGGGGCTTTAAAAGCCAAACGCATGATGTTATATTTGATCCTGCAGATGAAGGGGGAATCACTGGAGTTTGTTGAATGTGGGGTATAGTGAGAATCACTTAGATAGTTTAATGGAGGATGAACAGGCATGTGGAGAGACTCGAGGCAGGGAAATATAACATTGCATTCCAGGTAAAATGGATGACAAGTGAAATTAGAGGTTAGGGTTATATATACGAAACAAGTCATCTGGTTTGGAGTGCAGAGTACAAGAAGGGGAAATAGTTTGGGTAAGGTTAGAGGAATGAGAACATGATTATAGAGATTCTTGAAGGCTAGGGGAGTGGAGGTGGGACAACAAGACAGGAAGCTGTTGCCATCTTTCAAATGAGAGGTAATGAAGATGTTAACTAGAGTCTACCTCTTCTCAGAGCCCTCAAGGCTCTAATCTGTGTCTAAGCCCATTGTGCTGAGCTACCTACATTGCTGTAGTGGTACCTACATGTCTACGTTGGTAGAGTATAAACTAAGCTAGTGACAGCAGGAAGTGAGGGATGTAAGAACTCTTTTGGAGGAAGATCTGTGAGTATCTGCAAACTGATTGGATTTATGGTAAGCAAGAGAGGAGTTAAAAAATCATAGAATTCTAGAATTTTAAGAGACCATTAAGGTCATCTGATGCCCCCTCTACAGCATCTCCAAAAGCCTTGAGCTGAAGAACTCAAGTGATATGGGGAACTTAGTGCCTCTAAACACAGACCGCTACATTTTTAGACAGAATCATTAAGAAGCTTTTCCTCTTCTCCAGGCAAAAATCTGCCTCTTTATAACTTTGAAACTCCATCAATTCTGTGGCATTCTGCTCTGTGGGTGTAAGCAGAAAAAAGTATCATCCCTTTACCACATAACAGCCCTTTTCTTATATTTGAAGACAACTGTCATATTCCATTAACTGGGCTAAGCATTCTGGTTTATTCAACTTTTCTTTGGGTGACCTGGAAGGTGGCAGAAAAGGGAAGTCCAAGTCTACTGAAATGTGTTCTTGGTGACTGTTTGTAACCTTGAATTCAGTTTCTCATAGATAACAATGTTATTGTGAGAGTGATTAGATAGGTAGTATTAAAAAAAAAAAGTACCATAGGCATCTAGGTGGTACAATGGGAAAGAATGCTGGATTTAGTTAGGAAAAACTGAGTTCAAAACCTGCCTCAGATACTTACTTGCTTTGTGATCCTTGGCAAATCTCTGTCTGCTTCAGTTTCCTCATCTATGAAGTGGGGATAATGATGGTATCTACATCATAGGGTTGCTGTGAGGATCAAATAAGATGCTATATGTACAGTACTTTATAAACCTTAAAGTGCTAATTATTACTACAGGTCCATTCCTCATTGGGACTGGAAGGTAGGGTAAGTGACCTTAGGTTTTTAAAGGCTTTGTCCATGCATCAGAAGCCCTGGCAGGCCTTACTTTGATAGAAAGTGTTCAAGAATGGACCCAGCCTAATGACATTTGAACAGAGAGGTTCAACACTGGGTTGGCCACTAGATAATTAGTGTTTGGGTTTTTTTTTTATCACAATGAATATGAAGACTGAGGTGTAGAGAGGTTATGATGAGTCAGTGGAGGGAGTATCTGTGCCAAAAGAATTACGGATGCTGGGAATATTAAAATGATATTTTATGAGTGAATTAGATTTTTGCAACCTAGACTAGGAATGCCGCTGTTACAGATAATGTTTCTGTTTAAAAAAAAAATCTGCTCCTAACTTCCAAACAACCAACTTATAAAAAACTTTCAAGAATCCCAGCTTGTTAGGCATTGCCTCTTTAAATATATTTAATAGCTGTCATGACAGATTGAGATATGACTTGGGTTAAACTTTTTCCTTGGAAACCAGTAGTGGATAGAATGGTAGACTAAGAGATAAGAAAACCCTAGCTCTTCCCTCCAGAGAAAAATGGGCTTGAACTTTTGGAGCATAAGTGACTAAGGGCTCCTCGAAGTCCTTTTCTCTATTTTGGGGACTCTCATCAAGTTCCCCTAGGGTATACTAGTTACTTTAAGTGGAGCAGGGTGATTGTTTGACTCAGTAGATATCCCCTTACCCTCTTTCGGTAGAAAGAGCATTCAACTATTAAGACTAGAGAACTGGGTTCTATTCCTACTTATGTTGCTGTCCCACTGAGGCAAAAATCGGTTCATTTTCTAGCTCTCTTTTCCTCATCTTTGAAATTGAGGATTGGACTAGATAATTTCTCAGGGTTTGCTGTATTCTGTGATCCTAAGTCCTATACTGTGGTGAACCTGTGCCCTTATTATTAAGTTAGCGAGAATGACTTTTCCTCTCAATGTCATAATACCAACCAAGAATGTCAACATCAAGGCTATTCTCCCAATTCTTTTTGCCTGGAGCAGCTCATACCTTCAGGATAATAGTCAGTCACCCCCAGGGCAGTGCTGGAGGGGTGATGGGGATGAAAGTAGGAGTAATTTTATTCCCTCCTCTGATATTTCCTAGGGCTGTACAACAAACCAAACAGTGGGGATCTCAATACAGTTAAAGGCATTAGAGGCTCTACTGGTCCTTGCTATGAATTTTTCCAAGATATAGAATGTATTAGAAAAATGCAATGTTATGATTTCCTCTTTCTCTTTAGAAAATATTTATTTTAAAAATTTCTTTTATTATTATGCAACAATGTGACATTAAATTTGCCTTGTTACTAATTATTTCATCATATCAAGGATTTGTGATATTGATTTTGTCCACGGAGAGTTAGTTGCTTAAGACTCCCATGCCCAATAAGGGTCAGAAGTAAGGTTTGAACCTTGCTTTTCCTGACTCAAAGGCTAGCATTCTATTCACTTCTCCATGCTGTCTCTCTGTTAGCTCTTTATGTTTAAATGAATTTCAGTGCATACAGTATCACAGCTTTTCAATCACTCCCCCTAGGTTTCCATCAGGACTCATGGTCCATTTGTTACTATTCCCTTTAGCTCTTAAATGGTTGTATAGTTAGAGTGTATTGTCTTTTTTCTGTTACCATTTTTCTTTATATGTACAAAACATATCTATCCCTCTCACTGTGATCCCCTTTACCATTTTTCTTATTTGACATCCTGTATCATCTCACAACTAGCCAGGCTTTTCCCCTTCATTCTGGTTTAGTTTATTCATAATAAAATCATGTTTAAATTTTATTTTCAATTTATTGCAATTCTATTGCTTTGGGTATTTCTAGCCAGTATTTTGTCTCACTTCTACCTGTGACTTGGGGAAATGTGCTAAAGACGATTTCCATTGCAGCAGCTAAGAATGTGTTTTGAATTCATGGGTTGTTTTTTGTTTGTTTGTTTTAGTATCAGTTTCTATCATATATCTGTTGACCAAGATAATTGGAAATAACAATTGTTGGTGTAGTAAGCGAGGACGATGCACTGTTGAAATAAATGCACTGAAGCTTATTTGAGAGCATGGCCTTAATAACTCTGCTTTCTTCCCACAGTTGCTGCTGTGTATGACTCTACACTCAATTTCAGAAACAATGAAAACCCTACACTCTTGGGTGTCTTAAGTGGAAAGAAATATCATGCAGATTTATACGTAAGGCGAGTTATCTTCGTTGCTCTAAAAATACACATATATTGGCTTACGGTAGAATTATTGGTAATTAAGGAGTCTCCTTTTTGCTCCCAGTTAGTGAAGTCTTCATTGATTCCCCTCTGGTGTTTCCCAGTTTAAGAATAATTTATTAATATTTATTGATTTGTGCCTTTGAGACACAATGCATTGATCTTTCAAGTGAAGTTTCCTAGTGAATCATAGTCTTCTAAGTGAAATTTCTTGAGTGCCATGTTTTTATTTTGTTTGTGTGACCCTAGTGAATACCTACCTCTGTCACCTTAAGGCAGTAAAATTCATGCAGGGAAGATGACCTGAAACTTTCCCCAGCAGAGGTCACTTGGGGATGGGTTTATGAAATGAGAATTAGAAGATAATGGAAATCAAGGTCATGTAGTTCCAAAGCCAGTGTCTCATGGAAGTATAAGCAGTGCTTTGATTCCATGGTTTGTTAACACTGGTTCATCAGAGAGTATTTCAGTGAAATGGTTGTATAAATGACTGTTGATGAGATGTGTACAAGTGTGTATACAAATATAATATTTTATAGCATTGTGGCTTGAGACCACATGCTGGAATGATTGGTATCCTCCAGTCACACGTAATATTGCAAAATGAATAGAAATTAAAAATGTTTGAGTGAGATGGATGAATAGTATAATATTTTTAGAACATCGGGGACAGCTGGGTGGCACAGTGGATAGAGCATCACATGTGGAGCCAAGAAAACTCATTTTCACGAGTTCAAATCTGGCCTCAGACACTACCTGTGTGACCTGGGCAAATCACTTAACTCTTTTTGCCTCAGTTTCTTTAGCTGTAAAATGAGCTGGAGAAGGAAATGACAAACCGTTCTGGTATCCTTGCCAAGAAAACCCCAAATGGGGTCACAAAGAGTTGGATATGACTGAACAACAACAAAAAATGTTTTTGAAAAATGGGAAATGTTCGTGAGGGATAAACATACTGAAGACAGTAATTTGAAACTGGACCACTGATCACAGCCATTTAAAATTTCCATAAAATTGAGGGTGAAGTTATGTGAGTATTTATTTTCCTAAGGGTAGGGTAGAGAAAGAATATACATGGCCAATCTGTTGTACATTGATTTCAAAAGTATGTAGAACGTGAATGGCAAACATCTTGGACAGTCATTCCATGATATATGTTATGGTGCTATAATATAATGCATGCAAGTTTTGTGATTCCATTGGCCTATTGACACTCTGTCCATGAATGCAGATCACAAACCATCTTTGACTTGGGAGATAAGCCAGAGGGAGTTGCTGAAGGCACAAAAGGGCAAATAACTTGTCCAGAGTCACCCAGCTAGTGTCAGAAGTGAAATTTGCTCCCATTTCCCATCTCTAAGCCTAGCACTCTATCCACTCTACCAGGCTGCCTCATATCACAAAGCATTACAACATTAATGATGAGCCTACATTGGCTAAAAACGTATCTATATTTTGTTGACTCCTTCTTTGAGAACTTTGGTAAACTATTTCTTTTCATCTATTTGCTTATCTGCAAATGTGAACCTAACACCCACATCCGTGGCATGTCTTTGTACTGAGCAAAAGTCTTTGAGAAACAGACATGAAAGCTATCATTAATGAGTCAAGTATAAAGGCCATTCCTACCAGCAAAGGTATTCTCTCATTCTTTGCTCACTGTGGGAATGAGGAAGGGAGTAGTCTTCTGGACTGTTATCTAGTCAAATCCAAAGATCTGAAATGCCTGATGATTTAAAAACTGGCCAAGACATTTAGCATTTTACTTTTTTGTTTTAAAAACCTTTTAAAAAAAAAGTTGCTAAAATACAGAAGAGCACACTTCAGTTCTTTGTAAATATGAACAAAAGAATATTCAAATAAATTAAATTTCTTCTATGTGTGAGCTGTTCAAGAAAGAAATCCAGATGGAGAATTCCCAGAGAAATCCTAGTGACCTTCGACCTGTATTGACCTCAAGGGATTCCCAAGTAGATTCATTTCCATAAATGTACTTTTCCTTTGCCCATCCCCTAGGATTTCATCTTAAATCTATTAAAGATATATTTATATCTTCTCAAAGGTAATAGATAATTCATCTTATAGTCTAGTAAAGGGAATTTAGTCATATGTGTGTATACACATATACATATACAAACACACACACACATACACACAGAGACACAGTCCAGCATATAGTCTAGTAGAGGAAAAAAAATATGATCGAGTTGTTTTGAAGTGAGAGTCTCTCTGTAGTCAAGTGAAACATATTTAGCTTAATTGTAGCCCTGGCAATGGATTCCCAAATGAAGTGGGGAGATGAAGCACCATTTTCCTTTTACAATCAATATTGGTTTTACATGGGGGAGTCCCCGACTATACCTGTATAATTATTTATATATATATATATAATGTGTGTGTGTGTGTGTGTGTGTGTGTGTGTGTAAAATTGTATACATCCTATTATAGTGGATATAGGGCTATACTTGGAGGTCTTATGGATCTGAGTTCAATTCCTACCATAGGCTGGGTATAGTGGTATGCATTTGTAGTCCTTGGTATTGAGCAGACTGAGGCTGGTGAATCCCTTGAGCTCAAGAGTTCTGAGCTTCATTGGGCTAAGTCAATGAGGGATCTACACTAAGTCGAGCACAATATGGAGAGCCCCCAGAAGAGGAGGGCCTCCTTGGTTGCTTAAAGAGGGGCACACCAGCCCAAGTCAGAAGTAGAACAGCTTTCTCACTTATAAAATGATCGCAGATTCCTATCTCATAGGGTTGTTGTGAGAATTAAATCAATGTATGTATGTAAAGTGCTTCATAAACCTTAAAGTGCTATATTAATGTCAGCCGTCATCATTATTATTATGCAATTATACATCAAGTTCAGAAGGGGCAGCTAGATGGTACAGTGGTTAGAACTCTAGGCCTGGAGTCAGGAAGACTCATCTTCCTAAGTTCAAATCCAGCTTCAGACACTTAATAGCCATGGGACCCTGAGAAAGTCATTTTGCCGTGTTTGCCTCAGTTTCCTTATCTGTCAAATGAACTAAAGAAGAAAATGGCAAACCACTCAAGTGTCTGAGCTGAGAAAATGCCAAAATGGGGTCGTGGAGAAATCAGACCCAACTGAACAACCATAACGAGAAGTGCAGAAGTCACATTCACAAACCTTAACTGTCTGTAACATAGCTGAGAATCAAAATCTAAGCCAAGAGGGGGGCGGGAAGCCTGTTAGTAGCACAGGAACAGGTCACAAAGTAAATTCACTAAAGCTTATGTATTTTAGTCACAGGAGAGCCTTTCTGCTCTCAAAGGCTATTTAATCATATTTTAGCAAGATATTGTTCTAGAAAGCTTGTTTTTTTTTCTTTTTTACTTTCTAGCCCAAAGAAAATCAGAAAAAACAAATTTGATATGTGTGTTTATGTACATGTATGTGTTGTAACTTTTTGAGTCAGACACAATGACAGCAGTAAGATGAGATAGCTCTTAGTAAGAAGACAGACCGATCACAAATATCCTAACTGTAACAAAAAGCAGAGTAGTTTAGGGTCATTCAGTGTATGACAAAGCCTTGTTACACTGCAGTGGCCCTTTTTACAGCTCAGTATAAGAGTTGATGTTGGTAAGGATGTCCCTCAGTGATGACCATCCAAAAAAAATTACACATATGGAAGTGATTGTTGATAAATCAAAAAAAATAATTAAAAATTACGTTCAATATGCTCTAAGAAGGCAGTAGAGTGTATTAAACACTCATGTATGTTATACATTCTGAAGCTTACAATGCTATGTCTGTGGCCTTGGGCATTTCACGCCATCTCTCCTTGGGCCTCAGTCTTCTGATCTGTCAGATTCAGGGCCTGGACCAGCTGACCTCTTCTGGCTCTGGTGCTGTGGTTCCATGATCCATTCCAAATAATAGAAAAGAGGAAAAATGACCCAGAACTTTGGTTCTTTCATTTGGGAAGCTCATTTTACCTGGAACATTTTATTCCCAAACAATGCTAAATAAATGAGGTTGTCATTTGTATAATTGTTGATAGATTAGTAAGAAACTTGAAAACTAGGGAGATTGATTGGTCCTAATAATGAACCAGAACCATCCCTTTAAAGGGTATAAGGATTGTAGCAAATTGTACTACAGTGTAATGGACTTTCTGTTCTCCCATATGTGTTTATGAGTGTGTAATCAGGTTAAAATGAGTATCAAGGGTAGCCTTGAAAAGGAAATAAATCCCAGAAGTCCAGTAATTGGAGGGGATATGTGTGGAATCTTGACAGAGATAGTCCCAGTGGTTTGGCCTTGGTTAGGATAAGGCAGATTTATAAGCTAATTGTATGTATAATTGCTTCAGGTCTTCTATTAAAAATTTAATTTTAAAGTACCAATAAGCTGAGCCACTTTATTCTTCCCTACTTGCTGCCTCCCTGAATCCCAGTTCAGCCCCGAGTCATTGCTGAAAATTAGGGGTCTCCTAGAGCCCTCTATCCAGGGCCCCTGGACTGCTTGTGCCACGACATAGAAGCACCTCTGCTTCCTGCTCTATCTGCTGCTTGCAGCCACTCCCAGGTTGTGTACAACTGTAACCACAAACTTGTTCATTCAGCAGATATTTATTAAGCACCTACTGTGTGAAGCACTGTGCCAGTCGCTACCTGAAATACAAAGTTTGAAATAAGATGCAATCTCCATCTTACATATACTTAAATAAGTGGATAAGATGAGCACATAACTAGAATATAGTATACCACATGATTAAAAAAAGACATTAAAGGACATTGGGAAGGGTAAAAGGTTGGGGGAGGGAAGGACTGAGATCATTAACCTTGTTGGTCAGTCATGTCTGACTCTTTGTGACCTCATTTGGGGTTTTCTTGGCAAAGATACTGGAGTGATTTGCCACTTCCTTCTCCAGCTCATTTGACAAATGAAGAAACTGAGGCAAACAGGGTTAAGTGACTTGTCCAGGGTTCCACAGCTAGTAAGTGTCTGAGGCTGGATTTGAACTCAGGAAGGTGAGTCTTCCCCACTCTAGGTCTTCCTGATTCCAGCACTAGCACTCTATCCACTGGCTGCCCTGGGATAGCTTTAAAAATATGAGTTGGGCTTTCAAAGGAACTTAGATATGCAGAGCACTGCCTCAGAAATGATCCATATATCAAGAATCAAAGCATCAATTTTGAAAGGAATCAGTCATTTTAGATTCTTGTTACTCAGTGGTCAAGGCAAGGGACGTCATGCAGCAGAGTTAGAAACACAGTTTGCCCCACTTTGGGAAAAGATGCGAATCTGTGTCATTGAATCAAGCATTTAAGGCATGCTTTAAAATCCCACATTTGTGTTTTGGTCCCACACTCCCAAAATACATGCACTGAATTTGCCAGTTCCTATTAATTTAATTTCCCATTTTGTTTTCAGAAATGGCTTTATTTGAACTATTTAAAAGCGGCAAGCACTTTTGTCTCTGAACCATTAAATCCAATGGGATATTATTTTGGGAGGCAGATCAAGTCTGACTGGAGCACTTAATCCATTGACAAAAATCCCTGGGCAGACTTAGAGTCGAAACTTCCATTCTCCAACCTGGGTTCAGCTTTTATTTAGAAATCTTATAATCCTTTTCATTGCCCAAGAGGGCAGTAAAGTCATCTTTTCTATTCCATAGTTTCCCATCAACTGTGTTTTCATCAAATGCGCCTACAGGATTTTGCTTTGGCTTTCAGTTTTTCAATTAAAAGAAAGAGGTTGGAATATAGAATTCAGAAATGAGGCCTCTTCGAAAGACCTCACAGAAATGGTGGCTGTTATCATAAGGAGCTTGCTCCTTCTAAATACTTTAGCAGCTTGAACTGTCCTTATCTTTGCTCCCCTCTCTTTGCTTCTGCAGAAGGATTCCATTAGAAGAAGTCCCAGAAGATGAAGAGCAGTGTTCCAGATGGCTTCATAAGCTCTATCAAGAGAAGGTCAGTTGGCTGTTTTGGAAGCAGCCTGAGCTCTCATAGTGGTTTAGAAATCACTTAAATAATTAATTTCCCCATGCAGCAGGAGACAGCTCTAGATGGCTACTAGTATCAGGTGGCTGAAATGATGCTTTTCCCCTTGGCACATTCTCTTACACAGTCAGCTCTCCATTATCCTAGGGCTAATCAGCCAATTTGTAGCCTGCTTTACCCTTTTGTTTCTGCTTTCCTTTTCTCCTGGGGCCCAATTTTTCCACTATCTTGTTGTTAAAATTCAATAACCCTTCCATCAAAGGATGGGGAGGATAAACACAAATCAGTTAGAGTTAATTCTTGATAATATCAGTGGCTAAAGGAAAATTTGGTCCAGATATTGTAAATAATACTGTAAGCTTTTTTTGTTCAGTCAACAAGCATTTATTTATTTGTTGTTTAAACCACACACAAATTTATTATTTATTTTGAACATTCATTAAAAAATTTTTAACTTTTTTTTTTTTTTTTTTGGTGAGGCAGTCTGGGGTTAAGTGACTTCTCCAGGGTCAAACAGCTAGTAAGTGTCCACCTGGCTGCCCCTGTTCAAAAATTTTTTGAGTTCTGAATTCTCTCCCTTCCTCCAACACCTCTCCTGCCCATTAAGAAGACAAGCAATGATACCAGACATACATGTGAAATCAATAAGCTTTAAGTTTGAGAAGCATCTATAGAACATATTTATACTTTCCAAGTCTTCAGCCACCACTATTAAACAGGATTGGCTCTCGTTATTTTGGCTGTTTCCTCCTGGGCAACTAATTTGGGAGTTAATTTCTCCCATTACATTTTTCTTTTACCATCAACTATATGGTCACCAATTTATACGTTGTAGAAATACTTTGTGCTTACAGGTCTGGTGGAAAAAGAAAAGAAAACATGGTTGGTGCATTTGAGAGCATTATGGTTTCCATTTATTCAGTAAATATTTGTTTAGTGACAACTAGGTTGTGAAGTGGAGAGAACACAGGGCTCAGAGTTACAGAAGACCTGAGCTCACACCTGACCTCAGTCATTTACTAGCTTTGTGACCCTGAGCAACTCACTTAACTGCTACTTGCCTCAGTTTCTTCATCTGTGAAATGGAAATAATAATGTCTACCTCCCAGTTTTGTTGTGAGGCTTAAATGAGATAAATATTTGTAAAGCCCTTAATTATTAAAAGCAATTTATAAATGCTAGCTTTTATTAGTGGTTGTTATGAGTAAGGCACTGATCTAAACACTGAGGGAGAGATAAAGATGAATAATGCATAGCCCATGGCCTCAAGAAGTTTTCAGTCTTGGGTGGAGATGATATGGAGACAGGAATTGTCTTTGCTTAGAAAGATCTGGAAGGCTTCATGTGAAATGGTCACATATAAGCTGGATCTTGACAGGCAGAGATTGATGCAAGAAGGGTGTTCTAGGCAAGGGGCACAGCACAAGCAAAGGCACAAAGGTGAGAAAATAGAAACATGTTTGATTTTCAGCAAGGAGTCTAATTTAGGTACTACGTAGGCTATGCAAGGGAGCAGTAGTAACAACAACTACAAGTAGATTGTACTTTAAGAAACAGTAGAATATAAGGCTGGAAAAGTAGACTGGAGACAAGTAGTGAAGATTCCTGCATGCTTTGTGAAAATGTTGGATTCTACTGGTATATCCCCTGAAAAGTTGCCTTGGCAATAATGTCATCATTACGTTATGACCAAACTCCTCCAGGAAGTAATGAAGCCTCAATAAAATATCATCGGATGAGTATCCATTTATTAATATTATGCCTTAGTAATTAACTCACTGCCCTGGTATAGAGTCGGCACTTAATAAATGTTTATTGATTGATTGATTTCTCCTAGAACCATGACTGAATACAGCCAAATGATGCTTGTCTGGAGAATACTTGGTCGGCATTAAAGGTTTTCAGTAGTCAGCCTTAGAAAAGGAAGAGGAATACTTGTTCCTTTGATACGTGAGGAAAATTGGAGAAAATGGATGGATGAGGAAAATGGTGGCAAGGGAAGGTAATGAAGGATGAACACGAAAATCTGGCATGATCCTGTGAGACTTGACTTAGGATTACTGAAGCTCAGGATAAGCAGAGGTTGATGGAGCCAGGGCAACAAAAAAGGTTGAGGATTTGTTGTTGTTTATTAACTATAGTGGAGAAAAAGGAGAATCAAAAATGGATTTTGAATTTAGAGCTAAAAGGGACCTTAAAGGCTATAGAGTTGAGCCCTCTCATTTCACAGATGAGAAGACTGAGCCACAGAGAGATGAAGTGACTTGCCTAGAGTCAGAGTGCTAGTAAGTGTCTGAGGCTGTATTCCAACTCAGATCTTCCTGATTCCACGTCCAGTATTCTACCCACTCTGGGGCAGCTAGGTGGCGCAGTGGAGAGAGTTCTGCGTCTAAAGTCAGGAAGACTCATCTTCCAGAGTTCAAATCTGGCCTCAGACTTAGTAGCTGTGTGATCCTGAGCAAGTCACTGAACCCTCTTTCCCTCAGTTTCCTCATCTGTCAGATGAGCTGGAGAAGGAAATGACAAACCACTCTAAATGGGGTCACAAGGAGTTGAATACAACTGAATAATAATATATGATATCTAGGACTGAGACTATAATAGAAAGGGGTTCTTAATTTAGGGATTTGTGAAATTATTTTTAAAAATATTTTGATAACTATACTTCAATATAATTAGTTTCATTTGGAATATTTAATAATTTGTAATTCCTTTTGATAATAAAGTTAGTAATTACTTTTTATAACTAATTTCAGTATAATTAGTTTCTTTCATATTTTATTTTGTGCTTTTTTAAAATCACTGTTGGAGGGGAGGGCACCAGAGGGGCACCAGACTGCCGAAGGAGTAATACCCACACACAGAAGTCTAAGAGCTTTTAATATTGTTTGGGGGCTCTGCCCTGCTGAGACCATCTCTGGAGACCTAGGTTCTTTTCTGGGCAGCACAATTCAGGAAAAGATAATGATACATTCAGAGAAGAGCCATCAGCATGGCAAAGGGGTTTTTGATCATTCCATAGGAGCATAATTTGAAAGCTTGGTGAGGTAGGTAGGTGGTATAGCAGATAGAATGTTGGACTCGAAGTCTGGAAGACCTGAGTTCAAATCCTGCCTCAGATACTTTATTAGCTGTATGACCTCAAGCAAGTCACTTAGTTTCCCTTAGCCTGAATTTCCTCATCTATAAAATGAGGTTAATAATAGCATTTTTGAGGATCAAATAAATTAATATATATAAAGTGCTTTTCAAATCTTAAAAAAGTTATCTAAATGTTAGCTACTATTGTCATTATCTGTAAAATGCAGAGTAAATTAGATCTCTAAGGCAGATCAGTGGTGCGGTAGATAGAGCACTGTACTTGGAGTTAAGGGTGCCTGAGTTCATATCTGGCCTCAGACACTTACTACAGTTATCCCTTCCACATCGTGACTTTTCCCATCACAGTTTCAATATATCACAGGCTGGCATAAGAAATTAAATGGGAATTTTTGGTGAGTTTTGTGGAAGCTGCGGACAACACGTGAAGGCCAGCAGACGATGCAGAAAAAGTTTAGAAACTCAGAAATGCATAAGTTATATGTCTGGGATTGTATGATATCAACATATTTTATCTTTTAATACCATAATAATTCAGACTTCTTCTCTGGTATGGAGGGAGGACTAAAAAATTTTACACAGATTTTCCAGATTGCCGTGGATGAGGAGGGGGACGCCCTTAACCAGTGCAATGTGGAAGGGATAACTGTAGTTGTGTGGCCCTGGGCAATTCAATTAACTTTGATTTGCCTCCATTTTGTCATCTCTAAAATGGGGATAATAGTAGCGCCTACCTCCCCAGGAGGTTGTGAAAAGAAAATGAGATGATATTTGTCCAGCATTTGGCAAACCTTTAAGTGATATATAAATGCGAGCTGTTATAATGCTCTTTCTAGTTCTGACAGTCAATTATCTTCAATATTTATCCACTTACATAAACCAATTACCAGTTATGTCCTCCTTTGTCATCCAGTTTTCCTTCTATGGCCTCCATCTATAATGAGACATACTCAAAGTAATGTGCACACGGAGGGGAAGGGGGGGGGGAGAGAAAGAAAGCTAATCTAGAAAGAAGAGAAAGTATATTGCATATCTAATTGATTTTAATCTGGCTCATTGGAATCGATGCTAGGCCATGAGCCATACTTATTTTTTTGTGGTGAGTTTAAAGCCTATTTTTATAGAAGAAAAGCTCAGAATTTATTTTCCTCCATGTGGTGATTTATTTCCTGTTACCCAAAAAGCACTGACCACTCTGTTTAACTTAGTTTCAATGTCTTCAAGACAAAACTTGTGTCAGAGACAACTATCTGATTGATCGTGAGTTCTTCACATCCTTGTTCATAATATGACCAAAAGTTGCAGAATCACAGGATTTGAAAGTTGGAAGTGACCTCTACAGTAGCCATCTTTTCTAACTTGAACTCAAAAGAAATTTCCAGTATGACATACCTGACAAGAAGGTCTTAAACTGGGCAGCTAGGTGGCGCAGTGGATAGAACACCAGCCCTGAAGTCAGGAGGACCTGAGTTCAAATCTGGCCTCAGACCAAACACTTGACACTTAGTAGCTGTGTGACCTTGGGCAAGTCACTTAACCCCAGTTGCCTTAAAAAAAAAAAGATCTTAAACCTCTGTTATGAAGACCTCCAACAAGGGGGAACCCACCACCTCTCAAAACTCAAAGTGTTAGGGAGCTTTTCCTGAAATTGAGTCTGAACTTGCTTCTCTGCAGCTTCTACCCATGGCTCCAAGTTCCGACCTCTAGAGCCAAGCAAAAGAAGGCTAGTCATTCTTCTGCATTACGGCTTTTCAAATACCTGAAGACAGAAATGACATCTTCCCATCATATCTTCTCTTTTCAGGCTATGTATCTCCACTTCTTTCAACTGATTCTTATGTGACTCAAAGTGGAGAGGACAAGTAATAAACATTTATTAAGCACCTACTATGTGCCAGGCACTGTGCTAAGTGCTTTACAAATATTATCTCACTTGATCCTCATAACAACCCTGGGAGGTAGGTACTAATATTATCCCCATTGTACTGATGGGGAAACTGACGCAGACAGCCTTGTCCAGGGTAACACAGCTAGTAAGTATCCAAGGCTGGATTTGAACTCGAGGCCCTTCACCACCCTAGTTATCTTGCTCTGAATACTCCGTAGTTTATCCATGTTCATCTTAAGTTTTGGAACGTAGTTCTCCACAATGTAGTCTGACCGGGGCAAAGTGTAGTGAGACTATTAGTTCCTCATTCCTGGAAGCTAGGTGCAGTGCCTCTCTGCCCCTCTCCCTCTCTCCCTCTCTCTTTCCCTCCTTCTCTCCCCACTCCTTACTCCTTCTTCTCCCCCTCCCCCCATCTTTCTCCCCCCTTCCCCTTTTTGGAGGCAATTGAAAATAAGTGACTTGCCAAGGTCAACAGCTAGTAAGTGTCTGAGGCTGAATTCAAACTCATGGAGATGAATCTTCCTGACTTCAGCCCTGGCAATTTATCTACTGCCCAAGGTCATATAAATAAGATAATAAATATCAGACCTGGGATCTGAATCCATTTCTCCTGATAAGTCCAGTTCTTCCATTAAATACCATATTGAGATTTTACTTGATGTCACCTTTATTGCCAACTGGTTATTACGAAAGGGATTGTCTAGTTCATGAATTGTGTCGAATTTAAGGTGAGTAGAAGAAAGAAAATCACTTTCCCAATGTCTTGATAAGAGTGTATGCCATCTGTGAATGCAAAAGGAAGACTATTACAGTTTTATAGAGTCAATGGAATGGGAGGCATCGAGATAAGATTCTATAAACCATTTTATATTATGGTGTAATTATTCATTTACTCCCAAGAAACCAATATGGAGGATTCCTAATATTTTCTGTTCACTCAAGTGGCTTGGAAGTGGTTTAGAAGTGGTTAAGTTTTTAGCCTAGATGAATCTTTTTGTCATCAGAAGTTTTATCTACCTGTCCTCCTACCTTACATTTGTTTAGTGTTTTATGTCCCCCCAACACTCTCACATGCATGCCATAGTGGATGAAATGTTGGATTTGAATTGAGTAAAAACTGGGTTTGAATCCCGTTTCTGACATTTGATAGCTATGTGACTTAATCTCTCTGTGCGTCAATATCATCTGTATAATGGAAATTGTGTTTAATTATAGGGTTGCTGTGAGGTTTAAATGAATACTGGATCTAAAATGCTTTGCAAATATTAATTACTGGTTTTTTTTTTCATTCTTATCACATGATGGCATTCAGACAGAAATGGTCTGATGACAAGTTATCGTCTTGCTATTATCCTGTAGCTAGTGGATAGATCTCTGAGCCTAGAGTCAGGAACATTCGATGTCAAATTCTGCCTCTGGGCAAGCCTCTTAACCTCTTCCCATCTGTCTCAGTTTTCTCATCTGTAAAATGGGGATAGTAAAACCACCCACATTGCAGGGTTGTTGTGAAACAGCAATAACTATAATTCATTGTATTTGGTTTACTTTGTAATCCTGTATATTTTATGCATTTAAGAGGGAGCCTGTAGGCTTCACCAGTCTCTCCAAGTTGAAGGACACCCTCCCCTCTCCCCTAGGAAGCTCTGTGCTCAGGACTGCCTCTAGAGATGCGATATTTGTGAAGCTCTTGGCGCAGTGCCTGACAATTAGAAATATATGCTATATGGGTGGTATATGAATGTTTAATAATTTCCCTATTATCCTTTATATTTAATGTCCTCCTAGCTGTTGTTCAGGTGGATAAAATGATTGCATTTTGTAACTGAATAAGAATATCGGGATGCTAAGTTCAGTAGCATATTCAGTGACATATTTTTCAGTTGTTTTCATGTAGCTTTTATTTCTTTCCCTAGATCTCTAGATTTTCCTAGTTTTTCAGTCCCTGGAAAAAATGCATGTTTAATATGGCAGTCTATTAAAGACTGCATTAAATTTTTATCATAAACATTATGTCTGGGCACTTGGGGGAACAGTTCTGTCTGTAATGATGCTTTAATTCCAGGAAAGTTTATTTACTGAATACCAAAGGATATTTTGGTGGTTGTATTTGTAATATGGGGATTTGTCTTCTATTAACAGTTTACATAATAGAGAGCTCCTGATGTATACTTTCGTTAATAATGCATTTGCGTAATGCCTACTATGTGCCAGGAACTCTGCTAAGTACTTTTAAAAATATTATCTCCCTTGATCCTCAGAACAGTCCTGGAAGTAGGTGCTATTTTTATCCTTATTTGAGAGTTGAGGAAACTGAGGCAGATCAGTAAAGAGATTTATCCAAGGTCAGACTTGAGACCAGATTTGGAAACACCAAGATGACTCTTCTTGGTTCCAAGCCCAGTGCTCTGTCCACTCCGCTACTTAGCTGCCCTTTGGAATCAGGAAGACCTGAGTTGAAATCCAGCCTCAGACACTAGCTGTGTGACCTTGGGCAAGTCATTTAAACTCCATTTGCCGAGGAAGCAGCTAACGGGCTGAATGGATAGAGTACTGGGCCTGGAGTCAGGAAGACCTGGGTTTAGATCCAGCCCCAGCCACTCACTAGCTGGTCAAGTCACTTAACCTGTGTTTGCCTTAATCCTCTTGAGAAGGAAGTAGCAAACCACTCCAGCATCTTTGCCAAGAAAACCCAATGGACAGCATGGTCCGTGAGGTCACGCAGAGTCAGACACGACTGAACAACAGCAATAACTATAATTCACCGTATTTGGTTTACTTTGTAATCCTATATATTTTATGCACTTAAGAGGGAGCCTGTAGGCTTCACCAGTCTCTCCAAGTTGAAGGACGCCCTTCCCCCCCCCCCCCCCCCCCCCCTCCCCCTCGCCCGGGGCCCCCCCCCCCCCCCCCCCCCCCCCCCTCCGAAGGGGCCCCCCCCCCCCCCCCCCCCCCCCAGGGAGCTTTATGCTCGGGACTGCCTCTAGTCCAGTGAGCTGAGCTCTTGGTTCCCGCCTCCCTCTCATCCCCACTCCCATGTGAGTTAATAGTTACTCCCCTTTGTCCTCTCAGGATGCCTTTCAGGAGGGATACTACAGGACAGGAACATACCCTGGTACCCCCATCGTACCCCCTCGGCGACCCTGGACTCTCCTCATTTGGCTTTTCTGGGCTCTGCTGCTTCTCTACCCCTTGTTCCAACTGGTGGTCAACATGATCAGCAGCGGCTCGTCACTGACGCTGGCCAGCTTCGCCCTTGTCATCTTCGTGGGTAAGTAAGGTGGCTGATGCCCGGGCCACGCGGGTGAGGGCTGGGAGTGAGTGAGCAGGCTCAGCTGACATGCGCCGGCACTTTGTCTGAGACTTTTCCAACCCAGAACTTATGAAACATGGAACCCAAGCTAGTACTGAGAACATTAGAATGGCCGGGGATCTTGGCGGCCACCTAATCCAACATTTCCCAAATTGTGTGTGCTGAAGCACTTGAAGGCTTTCCAAGGAATCGTAAGAGAAGACAAGCCTTCAAAAGTCACTCCACTTTGTTCTCTGTGTTGGTCCCCTCCAGCCATCGGCTGCTGCGGTGCAGCCCTAGCCCCTGCTTGGGGAGTCAAGGGGAGTCAAGTCTGCCTGGGGCAGAGCTGCTGTGAGGGGAGTGGCCAGGGCCCCAGGGAGGGGCTGAGTCCCGCAGGACCGACTGACCAGAGGATTCCAGGGTGAAGCCTGGCCAGCTCTCCCTGAGCCCCAGAAATGACCTAAAACTTAGGCTAATGCAGCGCTCGTGGAGGCGGAAGTCAGAGGAGTAGCCTTTAACCTAAATGCAGCCCTGCTGTCAGGACCCAGTACATAGGAGAGCAGCTTCTGTCACCTGTGACAACTCCCTGTTTTCTCCTGTTGTCCTGGTTGGGTTCCCCCTACTCTACTTTTCCTTGGAGATTTTCCAAGTTTGGATCGATCCTTTTTTATTCTTTCTTTCCTTTGGTTTCCCCAACCAGCCAATCATAAAACATTTATTAAATGCCTACTATGTTTCAAGCACTGTGCTAAGTGCTGCGGCTACAAAAAGAGTCAAAAGATAGTCCCTGACCTTAAGAGGCTTACAACCTAATGGGAGACACAACATGCAAAGATTATACACACACATATATATATATATATATATACACACACACACACACACACACACAAAACAAGCTATATACATATATATACATATATACACACACAGAAAGCAAGCTATCTCTGTCTCTATCTCTCTCTTTGTGTGCATGTGTATGTGTGTGTATATATAATATATATATGCATACATATAAACAATGGGAAGACACTGGAATTAAGAGGGGTTGGGGGAGGTTTCTGCAGAATAGATCATTCCTCTACCTCGTTTGCTTATTTCACATCAGGGTATCCACTGCTCTTCCCTGCTGCATGTTAAATGAGTTCCCTTAGGAGGCTTAAGGAGAATTTCTGGTGGGGAGGAGCCCTCTTAGTTTTGCCTGGGTGGCTGGGAACAGCACTTTCCTCTCTCCCTCTTCAGTTCCACACTGACTTGGCATGGACTGACACACCTATCTATTCCCATCCTTCTCTTCCATAGCCAAGTCAACAAGCATTCATTTATAGGGTGCTAGATGTGAATTCAGGAAGATTTAAGTTCAAATCCAGCCTCAGACACTTAGCAGCTGTGTGAATCTAGGCAGGTCACTTAAGTATTGCCTGCCTCAGTTTCCTCATCTGTAAAGAGGGGGTATGATAAAAGCAGGTTTCTTATGATGGTACATGAGATAATATTTGTAAAGTGCTTTGCAAGTCTTAAATTGCTATGTAATTGCTAGCTATTATTATTTATTAATGACTGTTCATTAATACTCCTTCCACAAGCCTGATGGGAGAATGTAGTAAGAGAAGGAATTAATCATGATTCTTAGAGTCTTTTCTCTGCTTTATTTGATGGCAGATTCGGAAGGACTGAGAGAGTTCACTCTGGAGCTCATTCATTTTTGCTAAAGGATCTTGACTATTTAAGAGGGTCTATTTTATTTAATTTATTTAAAGGTCTTTGGTTTTTTTTGGGGGGGGGGGGTTAGGCAATGGGGTTAAGTGACTTGCCCAGGGTCACACAGCTAGTAAGTGTTAGGTGTCTGAGGCTGGATTTGAACTCGGGTCCTCCTGATTCCAGGGCTGGTGCTCTATTCACTGTGCCACCTAGCTGCCCCCTTAAAGGTCATTTTTGAAAGTTCAAAATAAAATAAATAAAACACACAGCTCAAAAAAAATTCTGGAGAGTTTTTCTTATAAAGAAAGGGTTCACCAAAGTTTTGATTGAAGTGAGAGTTTCTGGCTGCTACTGAACGATCAGTCAGTTTGTTCTTATCACAGATAAGAAAACTGGAGCCCAGAGGGCCCAAGGGACTATCAAATCATTTAGTTATGTGACATTCCTGTATTTTAAGGCTACTACCAATTTGTGGTGATTCAAATGACCACCAATGATATTGCCAGAAGGAACATAGAAAATATTCCTAAATATTTTGAAGCTTTGGGTAAGAAACTATTAATAATGATACAGGTTCTTTTTTCTCCCTGCTACCATGGGTGTAGAAGGAGGGGAAATGATTTGGGAAGTGAACAGCTGACTAAGAAGATGGTTCCTGAAAATGAGATTTGGATTTCCAGAATTAGCTGCCTGAATTAGGCACTCTGCTTAGCTGCTAATCAGGGTTTTAGCCTCTGGTTTTTAGCCCCCTCCTTACTTGTTATTTCAAATTGGTTGTGTGCCTTTTTCGGTTCTCCCTCTGTTTTAAGAAGGAATTCAGGGCAGCTAGGTGACACAGTGGATAGAGCACTGGGCCTGGGTCAGGAAGACTCATCTTCCTGAGTTCAAATCTGGCCTCAGACACTTACTAGCTGTTTGACCCTTGAATCCTGTTTGCCTCAGTTTCCTCATCTGTCAAATGAGCTGGAGAAGGAAATGGCAAACCACTCTAGTATCTTTGCCAAGAAAAACCCAAATGGGATCATGAAATGTTGGATGTGACTGAAATGACTGAACAACAACTAGAAATTTAGTGGTGGTGTGATAATAGCAGTAGTAATATAGTGATGGTGGTTGTTACTCAAATAGCATTTATTACTGTATTAGGTGCAGAGGATCCAAAGACAAAATATTCCTTGCCCTCATGGAACTTATGTTCTTGGGTGGGGGCACAGTACAGATAAATAGAATATAAAGCAATAAGTTTATACTAAATGATACAAAGTTGTTTAAAGGAGGCAGCGCTGAGCAGGGTGTAGTCAGGAAAGGCCTTGTTTAGGCCTTTTTACAGGTGAATCTACACCAGCTACCTTTGAAGGAAAACTACAATTTTAAGAGGTGGAGGTGAGGAATTCTTGTGCTCTGGACAAAGGTTACAGAGGAAGAAGATAGAATGTCAAGTGTGGGTAGTAGGTAGCTAGCCATTTGGACTGGAAGAGTTGGCATAGTAGGAGGAGTGATATGAAATAAGTCTGGAAAGATAAATGGGGGCCATATCATGAGAGGTTTTAATTGACAACATGATGATTTGGAATACAAAAGGGTGCTGGTAAGAATTTTTCAGTTGCGGAGTTTTTTTGGTCAGATCTTTGTTTTAAAGATAGCATCTTGGTGGTTGTGTGGAGGATGAGTTAGAGAGAGAAAAGATTAAAGATTATTATAATTATCCCAGAGAGAAGTGATAAAGTTGGAAACTAAGGTAGAGAATGTGAGTTGAAAAGAGAAAATAAATGTGAGAAATAGAGAAGATGTGGTTTTAGACTGTTTAGTGGTCCAAATTCTGCTACATGACATATGCTCCAAATTGTCTAAATCAGGCCTCCAAATGTTGTTTGTTTATTTGCCCCTAATAGGGAATCCACTTGTGAACTTGACTTTTAGCCACAGAGTAACTTTCTTTCCTTTGAGATTGGTAGTGGATAGAGTGCGGGGCCTAGAGTCAGGAAGACTCCTCTTTGTGAGTTCAAATCTGGTCTTAGACGCATACTATCTGTGTGACCCTGGGCAAGTCACTTAACCCTGTTTGCCTCAATTTATCATCTGTAAAATGAGCTGGAGAAGGAAATGGCAAACCAGTCTAGTGCCTTTGACAAGAAAACCCCAAGTGGGGGCATGAAGGGTTGGACGTGACTGAAAAACAACTCAACAACAACAAAGGTGAATCATAACATTTTGTACAGGTCTGATGCATAGCATCACCCAACCTTTTTTTTTTAATTAATTTATTTTGATTTATCAACAATCACTTCCATATGCTTTTGAATTTAAAATTTTTCTCCCCCTCCCTCTCCACCACCATCCCCAAGACAGTGCACAATCTAATATAGGCTCTACATATATGTTCCTATTAAACATATTTTCACATTAGTGATGTTGTAAGTAAGAATTAGAACCAATAGGAGGAACCACCAGAAAGAGGAAACAAAACTCAACAGAAGAAAAAAAAATAGCAAATAATATGCTTCGATCTGCATTCAAACTCCATAGTTCTTTCTTTGGATGTGGATAGCAATTTCCATCACAAGGCCTTTGAGATGTCTTAGATCCTTGTATTGCTGGGAAGAGTTAAGTTTATCAATATTAGTCATCACACAATGTAGCTATTATTGTGTACTTTTTTGTGATCTTAACAATGATTTTCCTCATGATTAGAAATGAATTGGAAAAAATCGGAGTTTTCTCTATTTTAAAACTGCAGAGTACAGATATTCCAATGGCTGCTAAAATCTTGTGATTCATCTCCTTAAAATCTGGGTATATTTTATTTATGTCATTGTTTCCCCAAGTACCCAGAACAGTGCTTACCACACAGTAGGCAGTTCACAAATACTTGACCTATTGATTTAAATTAAATCCATAGCAATTTCATGTCTTCAGCATCCTTGCCCAAGAGATCTTTCTTTGACTTTGTGCTATCGAGTATTTTATCAGTGACCTAAATGAAGGCAGGGTATAAGACTTCTCAAGACACAAAGCTTGGAGGAATAGCTAATGTGATGGACCTCCAGAGGAAGGATCCAAAAATATGTTGGTGAACTAGATTATTGAGGCAGGTCTCCTGAGGTGGAATTTTGTAGGGACAAATGCAAAATGCTATACATTTGGTTTTTAAAAAAAAAAGCAAAAAACAAAATTTTACGAATACAACATTGCCAAAAGTGGTATGTCTAGATAGTGAATCATCTGAGAAAGACTTACATATTTTGGTGAACTGCGAAGTCCTATGGCAAGGAAAAAAACTAAATGTGATTTGGGGCTTCATTGAGAGGCACTGTTGAATGAATACAGGAGATTATAACTGCATACTCAACTATGCCCTGGTTGGACCATAGTTGGAATATTATGTTCTGTCTGTGTGCCACATTTTAGGAAGCATAAGTTGGAGAGTGCCCAGAAGAGAGTGAATTAGATGGTGAAGGGTTTCAGGATGCTACTGCTGAAGGAATGAGGGCTTTTAATCCACGAGAGTCATGGGAGCAGGGCTGGCAGGGAACATGGTAGCTTTAGTGTAAATATTTGAAAAGCTGTCATGTGTAAGAGGTTATTAAACTTGTTCTCTTTAGACTCAGAGAGTAGAACCAGGAACAATGTGTACAAATAAGTTATAAAGGCGGATTTAGACTAGCGTAAGAAATGGGGTGCATCTAGAGGTAGTGCTGCCCTTCACTCAGAGATCTTCAGAGGAAGGCTTTATGACCACTTGGTGGCAATATTGTAGAAGGGATTCTCAGTCAGCATGGGTTGCATTGGATGTCCTTTGATGTCCCCTACAACGGTGAGGTTCTGTGATTTTTAAGGATATTAACAGATCTTGTGAATTGGTACCCTTCCCCCCATTCCCCCCCCCAAAATCTGTGAATTCTCAGTGGAAATAATTGAATTAAATTCACAGGTACCCTTGACCTCCCATGGGCTCTCTCCCTTTACACACTAACTTCCTCCTGACTCTTGGCCTTTCTCTCTCTGCAGCATCTGTTGGTGTTCGGCGTATGATTGGCGTGACAGAAATTAACAAAGGTTCTACCTATGGAAACAATGACAGCAAGCAGAAGCAAAAGTGATTGCTTCAGGGACTGCTTTTCATCCAAAGGGAACTTCAGAAAACTCTTGATTCTCCTCCACAGGACAGAGTGATTAAGGTTGGATGAGAGACTACTGGGGAAATATTTAAAGTCACTCTCCCTTTTGGGGGGGGGGCTTGGTCTCAAAGCCAGATGGGGAAGAAGATGTATTCTTAAATCCCCTCTCCTAACATTTTTAAGCGGGTTTTCTTTCTTTTCCTCTTGTGTGTGTGTGTGTGTGTGTGTGTGTGTGTGTATGTGTGTGTGTATGCGGTGGGTATCCATATATGCGGAAGGCCTATGTTTTATAATAATCCAAGACATATTTTGGGGGTGGGGTAGGGAATCCCTTTCATCCTTTGGTGCTGAGTTTTCTGTAACCCCTCTAAAAGGTTACCAGGGATGGAGTAGAGAGTGCTTTTACAAAGAGGATTAAATTATGCCTCCAAAAAAAAAAATTAACTTGTATGTCTGGCACATCTGTGGTATATGTTTACACAGGTCTCCTTTACTCTATCCCCTTTCATTCTTTCTGGCATGGCATTTTTATGATTTTTATTACAAGGTGATTTAGAGACTGCTTAGGCAGAGAGAGCTGTCATGCCTGGAGACCATGAAGCCTTCTAAATGAGGTAGATGGACCATATATGTCAACATCCTAGATAAAAAGAATGATAGTCTAAGAGTTTGGACTAATGGACATTCATACCCAATAAGTAAGAATCTGTATACGTCTGGAAGGAGAATGAAGTAGAGGATTTGGGAAAACTGCGTGAAAGCCTTTGAATGGCCAAAAAAAAAAAAGCCTTTCTTTTCTCCTATTTGATTCCTGGGTTACATACCCATGGTGTTTCTACTGCTGTGATTTCTCTGGCATCCCCATCTTGTTTGTCTCCAAGTCAGCACCAGCATGCCTGTGCTCTTCTCACCCTCAAGACCAAATATAATGTAATGGCCTGGCAGATGACTACCTTTTATGGGTGTTCCCTTGTCCATGACATTAGCTAATTGAAATGCAAAACTAAATACAAGCATGAATTTATTGGCACAATCCAGAAATCCCATCCAATCATGGACTTTCACTTGATTAAAATGCTGTTTAGCCTTTTCGGGGTTTTTTTTGTTTTTTTTTTAAACATCATTGGTAGCTCCCATTGAGCTACTAAGGTTCGGCTTTTGATCAGGGCAGTGGTCTCTCTTACATAGCTTCTAATTTATTCTACCAAAAGATTCTGTCCATGAGACGTTGGGGCAGAATTTGGAGAGACGTCCAGTATGAAGGACCCCATGCTAACATCTGCTTGCTAGCCGACATAGCCAACTGCTAGAAAAAGCAATAATTTACCCAAAAGAGAACTCTCTTATACAAGGTAGGTTCCTTGAGGGACAAGTGTACTTCAGGTAGTGACACCAATGCTATACTCAGTTTGGTTTTTAAATAACAGAGAGATGTATGACTTTGGCCATTTCTGGTTGGTCATCTGGGGATTTCTTTTTGTGGACACAAAGCCAATATCAAGCATTAATGCAGGTATTGATTCTTAGACAAATATGAGTTTAAAGGCTCATTCTGTTCAGAGAGCTCTACTTTCAGACAACCTGTTTCTTATTCAGTCCATTAATATTTATTGAATGTGACTATGTTCTGCAGTGCAGAAGGCAGAGACCTTTCCATTTAAAGAGCTTTTGATCTATGAGGAAGAACAAAGTAGAAGTAAATGCAAGCAAGAAACAGGACCAATTATACTTTGGAGTTGTGACTGTTGATGAGACTAATTTTGTATGAGGCTTGCACAGTCATAGTCATTATTTTGTGTCACACTTTTTTGTGTATATACATGTACACTAAGGGAAGAGTGGCAGGAAATGAGCAAAATGCTTCTTCCTCATCATTTTCTGATGACTGGATTACAGTGTCATGAGAGTAATCACGAACTATTTTTTAAACCGGTCTTTAAATGTAAACAAGACAAAAGTATAAACGGAAAACGTGCTGGGATTTATCAGTGGTAGTCATTTCTAATACTGGATGTGATCTGGACCTTCCACCATCTTTTATCATCCATTCTTTGTTCCTTGCTAACTCTGGAGCACAAAATATTGTCCCCATCTGTAGAAATTTTTGTTTTAAGAGATTCACTGGATTGGAAATTGTCTTTTATCATTTCTGTTTGGCAGGGTTCTCTCACCTCTTACTGCTCCCACTTTGTGCTGGGTTTGACCCATTCAACAAAACACCCCAGGACAGTTGCTTGGCCAAGAATGAAAAACCCAAGGGGCCTGTTTAATTGTTTCTTTTCTGATCTAGGGAGCTATAGATTAAGATTCTGTCTAACATCCTCATCTTGGGTAAGCCCTGTTCAGGGCTTGCTCACAAAGTCCATGATCATGGGGGAAAAACTTAAGTGTATATTGAAACCTAGTTACTCTCTATTAGCTGTAATATCTGAGTTCTTTTATAGCTGAAATATGGGACCAGAAATTTAAAACTAGTATCTATATAATTAAAATGTATAACTAGGCACGTACTGTATCTTAGTCATACAGTACCTACCTAGTTGAGAGATGATTACCAGTCTGTCCTATAGCTAATCAGGGCACTTATTTGGAGACTAAACTTGGAAAGGAAGCTTATCCTAAAATTTCTGATGGTGACTTGTTTTGTGGGCATCCATATCCTTTAAAGATGAAACTGGGCAAAAAACTTCACTTGGGCAGCTGCTCAGTACAGCCTGCTTTCATTTTCAATACTGGCTTCTCTCTTATAGTCATAGGCATCTCTCTAAATGCTTGCAGCAGCCATGTGCATATTATCTATAAATGGAAAGTTAAGTTGCTCTGAAGACAGTTTAAACAGCAAATAGAAAAGTATGTCCAAGATTTAGAGTCCTGCCATTATTTAGAAATTGATGATGAGCCTGACCCCTTATGATGGAGCTCACAGTAAAGACTTTGAGGACCTTAATTAATTGCTTATACTTCCTCTAATGGCAGACACCAGGATGATGGAGAGTCCAACCAAGACACCTGTTAGACTACAGGGTATGCTTTTTTATTTATCTTTAAATTTGAACATACTGATGTTTTGGGGATTCATAACACTTCAGCAAAATAATGAACCCACACTGTGAAGAATCTGCCTCAGGATCATAGGATCATAAATTTTGAAGCTGGAACAGACCTTGAAAGCCATCTAATCCAGTCCCTTTGTTTTACAGATGAGGGAACTGAGGCCCAGAAAGAGTTGAAAAATTAATACAGATTGCTCTGCTCAAGTCTTTTTACTTCCCCATTCTCTGCTAGAGGTTTATCTCAGATAAAAGAGTAATCAGTCTGATTGACATATCACACATTCCCCAGGTTGGGATAAAGAACTAAGGACCTGTTGGGCTATTAGCTTACATAGGAAAGAAGAAAAAGTCAAAAGTCAACATGAGCTAGTGAACAGTATCATTAAAGGACTTTATCTCCTACTTTTTAGTTATGTGAAACAGAATTTGAAAGTAAGATCTACCCATAATCAGAGTTGACTATATATTGTTACCCAGTCCTTCTTCTCCTAAAGCTTTTGGATGAAGTGTGTGTAATCCTGCCTGGAAAAGGTACTTGCCAAAATGTAATAAAACTCTTTTGGTTTACTGTATTAAAAGCCGTACATATTGTTGTCTTGTTAGGCATCAGTGTTTATCCTCCATAAGCGACTGTGTTTTACAATTGCCTTAACAAAAAGTAGTCTTAATTTTGTTTACATGGGAAAAAATAAAAAGAACTAAAGTACGAGTTTATTGTTGTTGACATTGTCTCGGCGTTCAGTTCCTGGAGTCTCATAGCCTTGATGCGTGTGGGTGGGTAAAAGAGATGGATTACGTGCAAGGGTTCTGAAGATGGAAAGCAGTCATCACTCTATTAATGGTCTTTAAAAAAAAAAAAACCCAGCCTTTATTTCTGTAAATGCTCAGGTCTGAACAGAATTCAAAAGCACTTGATTTACTTGAGTGAGAAGAATAATTGCTTCAAATGAATAAATAATTTGACTTTGGGTTCCCTAGCAATACAGCTTTCAAGTTACAATTGGGCCATCTCATTTACTTATTGGATATTTTAAAAACTTCCGTTAATACTTACACAAATGTAATATCCCACCTTGGAAGAGAATGGAACACCTGGAATTTGGGATTGTTTTGCATGACTTGTATAACTGATATTCCTTGCCTTCTTGGTGGGTAGAGGGGGCAGCAAGAGGGAGAGAGAATTTGGAACTCAAAACTTAAAAAACAAAAACAAAAAAAAGAATGCTGAAATTTGGGATTGTAGACCTTAGGATCTTTTCTTCATACTAGGCCAAATGTTAGCTGCTTGGATTTAAGTTTTAAAATTCTTAAGATGTAACTGTATTAGACTGTGAGCTCCTCGAGAGCAGCAACTATATTTTGCCTTTCTTGTATCCCCGGCACTTAGCACAGGACCTGGCGTAGTTGACTCAATGTATTGAGAAAAAATATGACGTTTAGTTGACCAGCTCAATTAGTGAGGTGGCCTGTGAACCAAAAGACAGATTCTTTTCATTTTACTAAATTGGGTGACTGGGGCAAAGCCCTTACTCATTAAGATGAATAGAGTATCTGTGGGAATTAAGAAATTGGCCACGAACTACACAAATCAACAATTAATAGATGAGTTGACCTCCTAGAAAATGACTTAAATAGATTCACTAGTCTGAGCAAAACTTTGAGTAAAGTATGACAACCACTGTTGAGTTAAGGTTTGTTCGAAGACTTAGTAAAGATGGCATTACATCTTAAAAGCACATAGTTAAAAAAATGCAAATGTTTCAATGCAATTATATATTAGAGAACAGATTGAGCAGAACACAGATCTAGTGTTTGCTTTATCATCTGAACCAAGTTGCACAAACCACAGAAGAGAAAAGGACAAATGAACCACCGTCATCCACTTCTGGTATTAGAACTTTCCATCTGATTGCCAATAACTCTCCTTCCACCACTTCATAAATAATTCACAAGATGCAACCCTTACAAGGTTTACTTCCACAAGCAAACTTGAGGTCTTTTTCAAGGTAAAGCACCATATTTATTATATATTTTCTGGTGCAGTAGTAGCTGTGGATGGAGGGTTGGGCAGTGCCGATGCACTCCACTCTGCACCTCCCACTGCTTCCTTCTGTGGATCCCAGAATTTTGGCTCACCAGAGCTTGCCTATAGCCATCAACTTTGCCAGCCTTGCCCTATGAGAACCAGAGAGACGGCTGAACAGCAATCCAAAGCTCCGCCACTATTTATTGTAGTATATACATATTTCTTAATTAGCTAACATGTATAAAAAACATATAACTGTTTTTATTAGGTTTTTTTTTTCATGTGTCACAGATGATATTTTTGAGTGTTATCCCTATCTCTATTTTCCCCATAAAACCCTTTGTTTTTTTTTTTTAATTTGGCATAGCATGGTGATTTTTAGAAATGCACGTCAGTAAATAGAAGAAATGCTTCCAAAAGCAATCTCAAAAGATTAATGAAATAACCCTAGGGAGATACCTGTTACTGAGTGCCTAAGTGACTAAGTATAATGGTATTTCCTGCTAGGAATAAGGGAGTACCCTAGAGCTTAAATTTATATTTGGGTTTTTTTGAGGTGATTTGGAGGAGGAGGAAGATGGGTGATTGATCAGGGAATTTGCCTGAAAGTCCTAAAAGGGAGATGAGATAGTTCCAGAGACCAAAGATGACTGAATGGCCCAGGATTCAGTTTGCATTAAGTTGTCACAAAGGTGTTTGTTAGGGAACAAGGTGGCAGAATGACCAAAAGCCTATCTCATCTAAGAGATGAAAGTGATGAAAGGATCACTTCAGAAAGTAATCATCCCAAAAAAGCATCCAAGGAGCTAGCTCCAAATTGCAATGGAGATCCCCAAGACACCTATGCATGAGGGTAGCACAATGGAGTGCCTGTAAAATTGATAAAATCATTATTTGTACAATCTGAAAGCGGTTTCCAGGTTGATCTGTGCCAAGAGATGATGGATTTATTTTTTCCCCCTAAAAAGGGCTATGGAGATAACTTTAAGGAATAGAAGTGGCTGAATGCTAAAAATACCTATTTTGAATAAGGCCCTAGATAAAAGTGATGGGATCACTGTGGGAAAGCAGGGAACTAGGTGAGTGACCAAGTGTTCCAACAGCATGGCTTTAGAATTCTATACAGGAAAATGTATACAAAGGCCCTGACAGAACTTGTGTGTTCTGCTGGCCCAGAGGGTGAAAACTTGGGTCACTTCTGTGCCACGGTCTTCGGTAGAGACCTTTTCATTATGCTACACAAATCCCTGGCAGGGAAAGAATTACGCCAACCTTTACTGTCCTTTATAAATGAGTTATTATGATCTAAATGGTTATGGGCAAGAAAATGCTTCCTTCACCAGGTGTATATATAATACAACAGTATCATTACTTTTATGTAAACCAAAAAAATGCCATAAATCAAGAAATTTCACAGCAGTGCGGAAGGTAACCTAGGATCTCTATATCTTAAAAAACAGGTTATTTTATGAAAATATCTGGATAATGTGATTAGCAAATTCTTCATAGAAAAATGTTGGGGTAGCATGATTTTTTTAAATGGCCACTAGTTAACTACAGCACTAGAATGAGCAGCGTGGTAAAGTGAAATGAGCCCTCAGAGGACATGGGTTCGAATCCCAGTCCTGCCACTTATGAGCTCTGAGACCCCTTCCAGCCCCAAACTGATGATCTTTGGTTGTGTTGATCAGTCAGTCGCTTTAAAAAGCTGTCTTACGGAAGGGCCAGTAGACTTGTTCAGCTTGGCCAAGAAGGCAGAATGTCAAGAAGAAAACTTTCTAACCATTAAGGCTGTCCATTAGTATAATAATGGGCTTCCTGGAGAGGTTGTCAAGCAGAGGCTGGAGTGGAAGAGATTCAGGGATGTGTTGGCCGAGATGGCTTCTTCAACGTGAGATCCTGTGGTCAGGTCACTCCAGTCTTTCTAGTGATGGTACCAGAAGGGTAAAAGAGACCTGGAGAGGTGGTCAAGTGGCACTGGTTAGGTGAGTGCCCCTATCTTTCTGGAAAATTTGTGAAATCATGTACAAGTCAGCCACATAATATCTTCAAATTTTTTTCCTTTAAATTTTTATTCAAATAACTCTTAAAGCAATAATAACCCCTGGCCCCCAAAGCTCTACTTTAATGATCCTTTAGCTCCTTTTCAAGTATATCCCCTTGCTTGGTGAATACTTGAGTAAAAAATACTGGCATAAAAAAATAGAAAAGAACAGCCCAAGCAAAACTTCCTAAAATAAACAATTTATTGAGAGAAAAAAACAAAAACAAAAAACAAAAACAAAAAAACCTTTTTCATTAATTAGCTCTTGCATAACAAATCTGAAGCCAGTCCCCCCCAACCCCCCTCAAATAGGATAAAGGTTCACAGTCAGTGCACTCAAACAGGATATTAAAAAACAAGGCCCAGCACGCCTGATAACACAACAACTTTTTTCGAGCTTAGAAAGGTCAAAAATACTACGTATTAATATGACAGTCCTCCATCACGTGAGGGACGGAGCAGACAAAGAAGGCAATGGTCCATGTACAGTAGTAACGGCACTCTGACTTTCACACTCTGCAGACACAGTCGCACACGAGCATCACGTGCCACGTAAAACAGACGAGAGCAGCAGGAGGAGTGACGCTCGTCACCTGTGCAGTCTTCAGTCGTGGTAGGTTAAAAACGTTCGTCATGTTTCTCAACAGTCTTCATGTAAATATTACATACAGTAGTGATTAAGAGAATCTGTCTGAGTACACACGCTACCAGGTCACATGCTGAATAGCTTCATTCTTCATCTGTGCAAACCTGAAGAGGGAGGGAGAGAGGAGGACTGAAGAGGAGACACCTGGGGAAGGAACATCACTAGTTCTTGCAGAAAAGTCAGTATCACAAAGTATCACTGGCAACAGTAATTATGTGTTTTTAGAATCTCAGGTCACTAGAAATTACCTATATTTTCCAACAAAGGAAAATAAAATCTTTGGCCATTCGTCTTGATTTTAGTATCCTTGCTGCCAAATGAAATTCAAACCTGAATACAATCACTCAAGTACATGAGACTAATGTGGATTGATGACTTTTGAGCTCACTTTTTTAAGTGTTTTGGCTTAATGGCAATAAATAATATTACTGCTTATGTGATAAAGCTGAGGTATGTTTATGCCCCTCCTTCTCCCAAAGCACCACAACAATCAGTCAAACCTTGACAAACGAATGGTCGAGGAGCTGGCTAGCTGTCCATCTCATCTTTGGATCACTTTCAAGGCAATGTGAAAGGAAATCTTTTCCTTCAGGGCTTATCCTTTCAGGGATGGGAGGCTTATGTCCCATTCCAACCTTATACATGATCTGAAAGTTGTGCTCGTACTCATGCCAAGGCCTCTACAAAAAGATAAGATTCCACTTTTAGGCAACCTTCTCACCCAAAATGTCCAGGTGTATTTTTTAGGCCATTTGATTAGTTACACCAAGTTCCTACATTAATCACGTCAGTGGCTTTTACTATAGGATTTCCTATTATTCTACTTAGGCAACAATATATGAAGAAATAAATGGAAAAATAATTAGTAATATATAAAATCACACTGTTCTCTTATAAGGCTGCTTATCTTGCTACTGGGATTTTTTAAACAAATCACCCCCCCAAATACTATTAATGTAAACCTTATTATTCATGATACTGGCCAT